GTTGCTTCTCACCGCACTGGCAAGGCCCATACCCAAACTGTGGGACGATTGCCGGTAGTACCCGCCCGTCGCCCATCGGATCAGTGCGCAAGCGAACTTCTGTCCGGCCGGTAGAGGCAACCGAAAGTTGGTTGGTGAGCGCTGAATATGGGGGGTGATGCGCTGGAGAACTTGCAAAAACAGAGGTCTTGGTAATCTGCAGAACCGCACGAGCACCTTGTCGTGCTCCCCACCCACCCTTTGCAGGTCCTTCCACAGACCTCCGCTGCGCTCCAGCATCCACACCCGCCTTCTCCGACAGTTCATGTGTCTTCCCAACTCCTGTGTTGCGAAGAAGCTCAAGGCCATGTCATGAACCACCCCCCCTGCAAGCATCGTCAGCGCCCCCGACACATCCCGGAACATGAACGGGGTGATGGCGACTGCTTCAAGAATGGCCATGGCCGCAGCGTTGCGCCTATTCACCCACTGGGTCATGAGGAGAACGAGCATGAACATCATGTCCTCCCTTTCCTCATCCGCAGTAGGCACATCTGATGGAGACATGGCCACAATGTCACTGTTTTGCACACAGCGTCAGCCCTTGCACACCACCTCTGCGGAACGCGTGACGATAGCAACACCTTCCGCAACCCCTATTCCTCGGCAACCCCTCCACCACATTCGCCGGCTATGGCTTCCCGTCAGTGTTCCGTGCATGCACGCTCGCTCTGGAAGGACCGCGTCGGGGAACAGAGATCTCCAACGACCACTAGGGGGGCGGGCGAGTGTTTGGGGGCGATGGAGTGGGACACCCGTCGATATTCCCAACGGTCATTTCCGGCCACGGAGGGCCCCGGCGGCGTGCGGACCAGGCCACCCCGGTGTGATGTATGCGGTACCTGTGCGGCGTGTGCCACATGCGGTCGCGCACGGCCACACACGGACATGTCCTGGTGCATGCCGACAAAAGGGCCTGGACCACATCCCCGGGCCTACTTGCCTTTTCGGGAAACAGCCTGGCCGTATTTCCTAATCGGGCATGGAAAAGAGTTTCCAGTCCCGAAAGTCCAGGGCTGCGGTGGGGTCCCAACAAAACGCGGAAACTTCTTTCCAAACACGGCCGACCGTTTTTTGTGGCCAACACCAGTTTCCAGCCGCCGGCCAGTGGGATCTAAGCCTTAGTGTGGGGCAGTTTCTTTAACTGCCCTATTTGATTTTTCTTTTTCTTTTTTCCAGCTATCTCGGAATCTCACGAGATTGCTGGGTTTCTGCCATTTCCAAAACCTTTTTTCTTTTATTTTTCTGATAAGGGGTTGGAGAGATACAACCCCTTACAGTTTGATGTATCTGGACCCTTTTCCCGGGGCAGATACATTGGGGAAAAGACTGTACCTAGCCTTTTCCTTAGTGGCCCTTCAATTTCCAGGCTCCCTTCAAAAATGGGAGCCTGACAGTTACCTCTGGCAGAGGTAGCACCACGTGAGGACAAGTGTCCTCACACAAAATAAAGAAAAGAAAAAAAAATAAAATAAAATAAAAGAAAAACCCCAACCTCCTCAACTGCAATGCTCCTGGCCGTGATTTGAGCCAGGAGCATGCAGTTATCTGTCAACAGCCTACTCCTTCCCTCTGCTGCCCTCCCCTGAAAACGGGGAGGACAGTTGTCAGGTTGGGAGGAGTAGGGAAAGAACTCGTGAAAATTCACGAGTTCAAATCCCGACAGGCTCAGAACGGGGTGCAAAAAGTACCCCGACTTTGATGAATTTTAGAAAAATATTCGATAAATAGAAAAATCTAAAACAATTCATGCACATGGCCTAGGTGCCTGACTACCTACAGAAAAACATTTAAGACCAACAAAATTGTTTTAAGCCACCAAAAAAATAATGGCGCAAACCGAAAAATACAACTGTTTCTTTTTTAAAGGGGGGGATGGGCGTTCGGACGGGCGAAGGAGCGCTCCGCTGAGCGCTACCGGTTCGACTGGACCGGTGCCGCTGACTTCGGGCTAGGCGCGCGGCCTAAGCTACGGGGTCTCACGTCGAAGCTTCCCCCGGTGATGGCGGGGTCAAACTCCTTCGAGGAAGGAGGAAGAATGGAGGCGTACTAGCGGTCGGGAGTAGATGAGCTACACAAACAATGTGGAATATGAGTTATGGACGTGGCGCATACGCACCGGCGTCCCTGAAACGGAATATGGTTCTCAAGTTTGGCACAATCTTTGAGGAAGACGTTCTTGGCTAGAGGAAAGACGAAGTTCCCAGGACAACAGCTCCAAGACATAGGGTTCCATTGGGGACTCTGGATGGTAATCTCGTTCGTTTAACCACCTCCTGGATTGCCTATCTGACTTGGTAAGCCTTAAATTGGTCGTTGGTCTGTGTTTTTTGGGGGGGGATAAGTAGGGCAGAATAGGTTGATCGAAATTCTCGAAGTTTTGGAGAGGCCAGGAAGGATTCTTGGCTACTAACATAACGTTGCTGGTCTCGAAATTCAAATTCGAACTAACGCGACAAAGGAGAGAAAGGGAATAATCGGGGTGTAAGGTCAACTGTCACTTGCCGGCGATCCGGTCATCCTAACACGTAGTGGAACGAGAATCGATAACCAGATATGGCGTTCCGGAATTATGAGAGGGATATTACACCAATCCAGTGAAGGAGGACTGCAACCCTATGCATCCCTTCTAAATCGAGAAACCCCTTACCATACCTCATCTTGTCTGAGTTTAAAGCGGGTAATTAACGGGTGGTAGCATTTAGACGAAGTAACGAGTGGCAGGGGTTTGACGAGTGTCCGGGGATTTGACTAAGGGCTATCTCTGCTGAGTAAGGGTGAATGCTGCCGTACTACCATGACAAAGAACGAGTTGCAGGGCCTTGAAATAGAGGTTGGAGAGTGGACTAATTGTTATTATTTTTGGTTCAGTTGTTAGTCTTGGTGCTTGAAGATCCTAGCCAGCTTTTTTAATCGGGACAATAACACTCATATATTACCCCTAGGATCCTAATTATAGAGGCACGCCACAGTTTGAAACACTAGGACAGGAGTCGGTACGAATAGGGCACAACACGAAAGGGTACCTTCGTGGACAGCATGAACCCTAACAATCCTCCACCACCCCCCGCGCCTCCTGCGGGGGGAACGGTTGGTCAAGGAGGACAAGCAGCCAACATGGGTGGAGGGGAAGACCCAAATCGCATCAAAACTCTCTTGGACTTGTGCTTTGACGATGGGCTCTTCCCAGAGTCAGAAATTGACTTTGGGGCGACGGAAATAATTGATGGGGTGGGAGTTCTTACGTTGAGTGAAGAAGTGAATACGGCCACTGTTAACTGGCTTAAGGCCAAAACAATCATAGTAGTATTTAATGAACCGGCTATGTCGATCAGTGTGGCCCAAAGAGAACAGCTGATTCGAGTTTGTGAGGATGCATGGTATTTAGACCCGACAGTGAATCCGTCACAGAAACGGGGACAAACTCACGGAGAAGGTCCAAATATCACATCCTACATAGCACGAAATACCAGGATCGCCGAATGGATGATTATGAAGGGGGAGGATAGGATACCAACGAGAAACGGTTCAGTAAAGGTGGTGTTTAAATCGTGGATGTCCAAGCATGAGATTGATGAATTGAGAGAAAATGAGGCAGCCGGTAAATACCGGATCATAGCTTTGAGAGTCCCGCTGGAAGCACTTTTTCCCCTCTGATTTGCAGTTGAAAGGTTGATGGGAAGGATTATTCAAATGCATCCACCAGAGAGGAACGCAGAGGAACCCAGGTTAGGGAATATTAGGATCGACTGCGTCCCAGAGGTCAAACAGAATTTCAAAGAATGGATAGTAGTTAGACAGCCTACAGGAACGGGGTTTGTCGAAGTTCAGTTTGCGAACCAAGACACTCGTTTCTGCAACAAGTGCCTCTGGTGGTTTCATGACGAATTCGATCCGGAGTGCCCTAGATTCAATGAATCAATGCCCGACGGTCTCAGAGGAAGACGAAGGGGCAGAGGAGGAAGGGGATCGGGCGGAAGAGGTAGAGGAAGAGGCAGTAACTTCGCAAATCTATCGAGAGGTGGCAGAGGGCCCCCCTCAGGCAGTAATAGCCCACCTGCTCCACCTGTATCTGCTCCACCTGCACCTGTGCCACCTGCACCACCGCCGTCACTACCAATGGTAGTATACGGAGCAGCACTCCCCCTTCCCCCCCCACCGGATCCAGGGCAGAATGCTGGTCGGGCGTTGGAGCCATTTCAAGGTGGGCCCAACGGGACAGGACCCAGCAGATCCTGGCTGGGGGTGGGGACCCAGGCCCAATCAGGGGGCAACTACCACTCAGTGGGAATGCATCAACAACCATCGGGGCCACAACCGGTCAGAGGGATGGGCACAGGTCTATATTTGGCAGCCCCCCCCACATGGTCTAATCAACCGACGGTAGGTCACCAGGTGACAACCTCACAGGGAGCACAGTGGGGTAATCCACAGGGTAATCAACTGCCGTCGCAGCCTGTGGTGATGCCTCAACCAGCGCAGATGGGAGTGCATCCCATTCTGCCAAGACATCCTTGGGCAAGTTCAATGCAGGCAGCAACAGGTACCCTGAATCTGACAGGCACGACGGGCGCATCAGGTGTGGTAGGATCTCCCTTAGGCCCCGTTCAGAGGGGCGCCACGCATCAAGGGCAGCCTCAGAGGGCAGGGGCTGTTGGGTTCAGCGGAGGACAGTCTATGATGACGAGTGGACCGGGAGGAGGAGGGATCCATGGCGGGGTACAGAACCGAATCACAAGATCAGATCAGTTGTTTGACACAGGGTTGGGGACGGAGCCCCTGAATCAGGGCATGCTCCTGCTCCCAGCTTCAACCACGCCGATAGGGGTCTCTGCACTGTTATTCCCACAATATCCATATGGAGGGACCCACCAACCCCAAAGCCAAAGTCAGGGGAATGTAGGTCTAGCTGAGGGAGGCAGGATTAATGCTCCATACGCAGAGGAGAGACGGACTTTGCAACATGATCAGAACTCCGCTGGGTTCAGGCAGGATCCAAACCCAAACCCATATCCGACAGGGGCCCAAGGACAATCTTTCGTAGCGGTTCAGATCAACACAGAATTTGAAATAGAGAACCAAAATGAGGAACGGCTAGCAATGCAATTAGTGGGTGCAGACCAATATACGGTTAGTGCTCACAGTGGACAGCCAGAACAGAGGATGGGAACAGGCAGGGATGTAACCAGAACAGGACAGGTACGGACAACAGACCAAGGAACCCCTTTGCTAGGCCACATTATGAGGGACCCAGGAAACCGATTATCCCTACAGGCTCCGGTAAAGATGAGAAGGGTAGGGGAGGAAGGACTGAGTGAAACAACAAGGGAGGAGGAAGAAAGAGAAGTGGAGTTCTATAGCATTCGTCCCCAAACTGCACACTGTCAGGGAAACAGTGTGAGGGATAGCGGGCCAGGTAGGGAGATAAGGAGTGAAGGGGTAGGCCTGTCAGGGACAGCTAGGAATATAGTAGGTGCAGACCCAAGAGAGGTCTCCCACTTCCTTATCCCGCTGTGTGTTTCGTTGGCACCGCAAGGGGCCAAGGTCTTGGCGCTCAAAACAAATGCGGGTGGTTGTGCTCTACCATCAATTCCGGTTAGCACAGTGCCCTCCACGAAGGACTCAATCCGAGCCGCCATACAGTCCTTTACTGCCAACAGGTTCTCTTTCAGGTTGATCCCTGGTATCAGAACCGGCAGGAGATCATTCTCTCAGACTAACGGCCCACAGTTGTGCTACCATATGGTACTGGTGCATGTAAAGATCACGACTGAGATAGCAACAGGTCTTGCGGACCAGGGGATTCTATGGGTCTCTCCAACCTGGCTGGACCCAAGTACCTCGAAAGAGGCGGAGAGGATATGGATTACTGATTGTATCAATGCAGGGTTCGTGGCCGAATTCTGTCAGACCCTGGCAGCAGATAAACAGCCCTGGGCTTCGGCTTTCAGGAGTCTTTTGCTAGCTCCATGGGAGACAGGGACAGAATCAGAAAGCCAGGGACAGGGGCGGAAAAAGAAGGGAAACAGCAGGGGACAGAACGAAACACAGCGGATCCAAACCACTACCGCTCAAACACCAACCAATGACAGATAAGCTGCACATCGCAACATGGAACGTGCGTGGGCTGGGGGACACCTCTCGAACGTTTAAGCAAAGTCGTTTGAAAACATGGGTACACAGACAGAGAGTGCAGGTTGTTCTTTTGCAGGAAACCAAGTTGGATGAGCCGAAAATCGCCCAGCTGGCACGCTGGTGGGCTGGCCCTCAGTTTTGGGACCCAGCCAACGGCACAAGGGGGGGGACTGCAATCCTGATCCATCGAGAGGTAGAACTAACTGTCCTTGATAGTAGAGCAGATATCTGGGGACAATGGGTTTGGGTGAAGTTCAGAATGCATGAACAGGAATGGGTGATAATGTCAGTGTACGCACCTGCTGTTCCCGGGGAAAGGAGGTCTTTTTTCGCAGAACTTCCTTACATTGTGCCTGATGCGCAGAACATGGTGGTTGCTGGGGACTTCAATACGGTACTTCATCCAGGACTGGATTCGCCGGTCCAAGAGGAACGAAAGGCGGATGCACGACTGCTCCTGCAATTCATGGCGGAAAGAGACCTCACAGACACATTCAGACAAATGAACCCGGAGGATGCTGGCTTTACCTGGTTTTCCAATCAGTTAAGGGATGATCAACCGATGGCAAAACGCAGGCTGGATCTCATCCTGGCCAAAGGGGTGGCGTGGGAATCAACGTCGGAAGTCCAGGTGGCCACAGATTCCTCTTCGGATCATAAACCAGTCTCAGTGCTTCTCAGGCTGGAAAGTGGAGTGAAGAGGGAGGCCGGTGCTTTTCGCTTGAACACGGAAAACCTGAAGAATCCTGCGGTGTTGGACTGGTGTAAAAAGCACTGGGAGGAGTGGGAGAGAACAAAGGACTGGTTTGGATCGGAAGAGGAGTGCACGCAACTGGGGTTCCGAATAATTACCAGAGCTCTAGATGCTTTTTCCAGAATTCTTGCCAAAGGAAGAAACAAGGAGGAACTGGACTGCATTGCCCAGATTGAGGAGGCAGAGGATCAAATGGGGAGGGACCCTTTGACTAATATTTATTGGGAAAGAAGAAGAGTCAATGGGATCAAAAAACTGGAGGGTATCCAAATTGGACAGCAAGAGGTTTGGGCAAGGAGAGCGAAGGAAAGGGGCATGGCGCAAGTTGACCGTATGACAAAGGAAACTTTTCGCAGATTGTGCCCTCCACGCAGTCATAACCTGATCAGAGCGTTGCAGCACCCCTTCAACGCACAGGCAGACTTGGCGGTATCAACTGCAGACATGTGTCAGTACGCAGCAGATTACTACACCGACATCCTCACCTCAAGAAGACCCTCAGGGGAATCTCTGTCAGACCTGCAGAATCAGAACGAACTTTGGCAACACACTACAGGAAAACTGTCCCAACAGCAAAGACTGAGCTTGGACCGGCCGCTCACACTTGTTGAACTGAAGGAAGCAATCCAAAAAATGGCAAGGGGCAAGTCGCCTGGGGATGACGGACTTCCGATTGAGTTCTTTGAAGCCACATGGGAGCAAGTGGGCCCGATCCTATTGAACTTGTTTAACGGAGTGCTGGAAGGGGGTCGCCTAACAAAGGACATGTGTAGAGGAGTGATCACATTGTTGTACAAGAAGGGTGATAAACTCAATGTTCGAAACTGGCGGCCCATTTCTCTGCTGAATGTTGCTTATAAGATTTTGGCGAAGGCTCTGTCGAGACGAATTGGGCAATACTTGACAGAATTAGTAAAGTCAGATCAAGGAGCGTTTGTCAAAGGGAGATCGATAGCAGAGAACTTAATGGTGGCAATGGGTGCGTTGGAGGTGATAGGGAAAGAAAGGCGACAAGTCCTAGTGGCAATGTTAGACCTTGAAAAGGCGTACGATCGAGTGTGTTGGCAACCCTGAAACACATGAATTTCGGAAAAAACTTCCGGAAATGGGTTGCAGGTATGTACAGGTTCTCGACAGCAACTGTTTTGGTCAATGGTAGGAAGTTTCAGGAGTTTGCCTTGACTCGTTCTCTGCGTCAAGGGTGCCCTCTGGCCCCACTCCTCTTCGTCCTACAAATTGAAGTCGTCCTGAACGCAGCAACGTCAAACAGAGTGTTGAAAGGTTTGGAACTGAGGGAAGGGGTGGAAGTGAAAACTGGGGCAATCGCGGACGATCTGCTTCTTATCACCGAAGCCACCAGTGAATCCATGGGAGCAGCGAAGAGCATCTTGGACCAATACTCAGTCTTGTCCGAAGCCAAAGTGAATTGGGACAAGTCTGTGTACTTCCTCCCAGAAGAATTTGAAGTAGAAGACAACTGGTCCATGAAGCGTATTCGTTTTAACGAAACAGAACGATATCTTGGGCTGCAAGTCTCGCTGTCTAACAGCCGGCCAGCCCAGGACAGAATCTTGCTGAGCAAGGTGGAAGCTAGGACCAAGAAGTGCAATTCTGCAATGGGTCTTTCGCTAATGGGCCGGGCTGCAGTTATCTCTACTTCAATCTTCTCACTTATCTGGCATATTGCAGCGGTGATACTGATCTCCAGAGCCACCCTCAAACAGATTCGAAGAGTGGCAGCCCGGTACTTATGGAAGCCTGGAGAGCAGGAAGACACGGGTTTTATTTCTAAAGTTTCGTGGGACAAGGTCACGCAAGCGAAGGGCGAAGGAGGTTTGGGGATTGTGGATCCAGAAAGGCAGAATGTGGCAATGCTGGGGAAATGGCTCCAGAAGATCAGTCTTCAAGAAGAGGAACGTAACTGGATGTTAATTCTCCAATACATTCCGCAGCACGAATTTCATCTAACCCGTAAGGAGGATGTTTGGCTCTGCATACAAATGGCAGCCTTTCTCAAGCGCAGACCCAAATCCGCCCTGGGTGCAGCCTGGTGTGCAGCCTGGAGCAGATTGAGACCTCAATTACCTGTGGCTCCTGTGCTAAAAGAAGACATTTTGATGCAACATTTGTTTGAAAATCCAAACATCATGGATTCGAATGGCTGCAGTTTTGAAGTTTCAGGGGCGGGAAATTTTGGGAAGAAGTGGATAGAGAAAGGAGTGTCCAGAATCAAGGATTTATGGGATGAAGGGCAGAGGAGATGGACGTCTGAAGTCAATCTTCCGAGAGTGTTGGGAAGACTCCGAGAGGTGGGCACTCGGCTGGGAGAACTGTTAGAGGCCATACCAGCTGATTGGAAAGCGGTGCTGACAAAACAGGACACTAAGGAAAGGGGAGGTTGGTACAAAGTGGAACAACAGCGGGCGAATCCTACTCAAGTTCTGAGATTGGAGGAGAAAATGGAAGAAGGAGTGTGGAAAGTCACTCTCTGGGAACCCCTTAGAGGCAACATGAATGGAGCCAAGTTGAGAAGGATCAGCGAGGAGACTATGAACGCAGACCAGTCGCTCGTAGCGGTGAGGGTGTGTCTACAGCCGGGGCTCAGGCGAGGCTTGGAGTACGTCCTGATACAAGGGGGAGCAGCTATCCTGGACCTACGGTTGGACCCAGCGAGGTACTCCTGGCAGTACACGGGCCAAAATAGTAAAACGCTAGTGGACTATGACACGAAGCTGGGAAGGAGAATTCAGAAGCCACCAGAGGTCAGTACGATCCACATCTGCGAAAGATTGGCCAGAACGTTCAATCTCCAGCAGATACCATCTGCGACTGAAATGAAGATACTTTGGGCTTCGCTGCCTTACCTCCCCAGTCTCAAGTTGGCAGGCCTCTTGTGGCTAATGTCTCACTCTGCGGTTCCCTCAGCCAAGTGGCTGGGAGACAAAGGGATGGATGTGCAGCGGCAATGCCTCCGATGCGGTAACTCCCAGGAAGAATCCACATTCCACTTAATATGGGACTGCCCGCCTCCAAGCGGATATGGAGATGCTGGGCATACCACTGGCACCGTATGGGTTCCGCCTTGACCTGGGATGAAAAGTGGGTGGTTGGGGGGCAACTCCCCCCCCTCTTTTTCAGTCACAGCGGGTGGGGGTATATGGCACAGGCTATCCGCTCAGCTATTGCCTGGACCATATGGGAGGATCGGAACAGCATTCTGTTCCGGAATGAATGGACATCAGACGCAGCCATCCAGGGCAAAATCAAAGCCTTGATAAGAACAATGGTGGTGGCAGACTGGGTGAGACGGGCAGGCAAAGGTCATTCGCTAAAGGGCAGGAGGTGGTTTCTTTTCACCTGGGCAAGAGCAAACAAATTGGCTGCAGTGACATTGGAGGGGAAGCTGGTACTGACACCATTAAAAGGGCCTTTACCCGATATAGGCCTCAGGCCTTGTAAAAGTAAAGCAGCACGGGCCTTGTAAAGGTAAAGCATTGTGAAAAGGTATCTCGCCAGGGCTCAGAAACGTGAAAGCAAGTCAAAGGTCAAGTTCTCTATCAACAGGCACATCTAAATCTAAGGCAAAGGGCATTGTCAAAAGACTTACCTGTTCACCAGGAGATGTGTATGTCATGTCTGTTCGGGTAAGAGTGTGTCTGTACGTGCAGGCAGTGTACCTGTTCGTGCAAAGGAAAGTGTCTGTTCAAGCAGTAAATGTGTCTGTTCGTTTAGAGTTGTGCCTGTCCGAAAGTAAAATCAATAGGCACAGTCCCAGTTCTGGTATAAGTCAAGGGGTCAGTCCAGATCCAGACTTTCAAGTCCAAATCCAGGCCGAGAGGCCTCAACAGCAGTTGAACTTCATTGGGACTATACTGGGACACATGCAATGCAGGGTCTGGGACAAAGGAAAGGCCGAATTGAGCCAATGCAGACCCAGCGAGGAGTGGCCAGCACTATAAAGGGAGCTGCCTGCCTCATTCCTCGCCAGATCTCCACTGGCTGCAATGCGTGGAAGTGCTGGTGCACTTGTGCGCTGAGTCAGGAGGAGCAGCGCTGGAGGTAGAAGATGCACTGAATGGAGGAAGAAGCCTGTACGCTGGAAGTGATGCAGCCATAGCTGCCCAGCGAGTTAGCATTAGTAGTAGAGGGTTAGTATGTAGCTATGAGTATTATCCAGAGTAGATCCTCATGAGTGAAGAGTGTGTATGCATCGTAGGAGGAAGGGACTGAGGCTGAGAGTGTTCATTCAAGGTTCGGCTATGGAACATACTTACCTGGGTTGGATGTGACCTGCAGAGGTGGCGCTGATGAGTAGTGACCACATAGATGACTTGGAGACTATCTGCAGGAGTAGCGCTGATTCACTGGAAGTCATATTGATGAGTTGACAAGAGATTGGTGTTGCGCTGATGGGCGCTGGACTCAGGGGAACTTTGAAACACTTTGTATTCATATTTCTGATAATATAAGCTGGGAAACTCGGCCCTCTTCTCATCTACCTTTTTCTATGACTTGAGATTATTGACCATGGTGTGTGAGAATGATGCATGACATGTACACACATGCGTGAAAGGGTCCCCAGGACCCATGCACCGTGGCTGAGCTCATAAGAAGTAGCCGTAGAGTAAGCTAGCGAGGCTGCTACGGGGTCAGTGAAAAGGCCCGGGAGAGTTAACTTAGGATCAGTAGCAGTTGAACTGAAACCGAGTCGCGGTAGACTCGAGCAGACTCGAGAAGGTAGTCGATCTGGTGAGAGAGTGTGGCATACTGCTTAGCCACACGGGCCCTGCAGGGCCCGTCCCGGACATTCAGCCTAAAAGCCTAAAACTTAGGGCTTACAGGCCCCGTTCGTTTCAGCCTGAAAGCTGAAAAACGAGGGCCTGCAGGCCCTACTCCATTTCAGCCTATTTCTGGGTCTTTCAGACCCAGAGTTTTTCCAGCCTGAAACGGAGGGCCATTTTCAGGCCCTCATTGTTTCGACCTGCCCCTAAGACTCAGGCACGTAAACAGGGATGCAGAACAGGCCAAGAATAGCCTGTTCCTCGAGTTTGAGCAGGAGCTGCAGCGGCAGCCCCTGCCTCCGATCGGCATTGGCAAGAGCAGCCTCCTGGACTGCTCGCCTGCAGTCAGGAGGCACCCCGGTAGTACATAGGACTGTCCTAGGCACKTCACGGGAGGTAGTTCARTAGGCACGAAGTAGTCTTCAGGATTTCGGCCGCAGCACTYAGGAGGAGCGCTGCARTAGTCTTCAGCGCTAGGTGGTATTCGCGCTAGCTGTAGTCTTCGGCGCTGGGCGCCATAGCTGCAGCTGTAGCCTTCAGCGCTGGGCGCTGGTAGGTGGTAGATCGTAGAGTGGGAGAGAGACTGGCGGAGGCCAGTGGTACTTACCTGTGGCGCCATCGCTCCAKCTCCATCTTCGTGGTACCTGCATCAAGGCGCCAACTTCACAGGTTAGTACTGGACACAGAGAGAGAGAGAGAGWKMKTYYTYYTYCT